GAATATTTATTTTATTTACTTCTATAGGCTTGTAATCTTTGAATATCCCAATTGACCCAATCTCTAGTCTCTCCTTCTCTATCCTATACATAGTTGTATAATAAATACAACATATATTTATACATATATTTATATACATATATAATACACATATATTTATACATATATTTATATACTTATATACGAGTACATATAATATATTTATACATACATTTATTATACATAGTTGTATAATAAATACAACTCTTTTTGTACGTCTTTCTGACTAGATTCACAAATACATCGACGAAGTAATATAAAATATCTCGTCAATGAGAAATATGTTAATCAAGCTATAATTAATTATCTTGTTAAAAAGGTGACAATCTCACGTGCCAAGTTATACGTATTACATTATTAATAACAACTATCTCTTATTTCAATGATTTACAAAATCATGTCACAAATATGATTGTTGAATTACAAAATTTCTTCATCTATTTCTTCATTTTAAAGCTATGATGCTTTGATGTGATCCTTATAGGTTGTCCAGCCCCAAAAGCCCATGCGCTAACGCGCTACTGATAACCAGGGACACAGATAAAAAAATTTCGGTCCTGATAACGATTTGAATCTAAATCCAATTTTTGGTTCCAAATCCTTTTACTGTAACAGTTACCAGAACCGATTGGATTTCGATCCTTTTTGATTTCGATTTTTGGTAATTATATACCTATAACGATCACCGTTATCAGTAAAAGAACTGGATACCGAAATCGAAAGTTGGGTAGCCTTGGACTATAATCGTAATCAGGCCGAAATTTTAATTCATGATGTAATTTTGATCCAAGTTCTTGCTGATAACTGATTAAAATATTCAGCCATTAATCCATGAGAAACAAATCTCTAACATTCCCTTTCAAATACAAACACTAAAGAGAAAGTGATTAATTTTATCTAAGTTCAAAAAAATGTTATGTAAAATACAAGAGAATAATTTCTTGCATTGAAATGTGGCTATAACGAGAGAACGTGTTTGCATAGCAAAATATTTGCCTCATTATGCACTATTTCTCATTGCTTCATTTATTCTTGAAAAATATTATGGATAAACAACAATAAGAAAAATTGTTCCAAATAATCATGAATCATAGTGAAATAAAAAACGTTTTTTAATTTTTTAAACGATCGATATAATAAATATTATTTAAACAAACGTTGTTTTAAAAGGAGAGAAAAAAATATATCACTACATGATCTTGTAAATAATCTTTTTTAATGTTTATTTAAAATTTATCGCTCTTGTTGTTTGCTTGTTTACTCACTTTCACTAAGAGAGTTATTTTCTTTTATATTAACTAGAACATTGATGAAAACAGGAAGTATTACAGACTCCATTATTTACATTTACGATATCAAATAAAATTTATTTGATATTGTAAATGTAAATAGTTTAAAAATATTATTTATACGTTATAACGTTGCTGAAATATTCCAAAATATTTCTTACTTGCTGGATGCGTACATAATCAGACAACAAATTGACAGCAAAAACCGAGCAGAGCTTTCATCGGTTTTGATTTTTTTCAATTTTTGCCGTCAATTTACTGTTATCAGCAAATTTTGCATGATTTTGTTCTCATGATATGTCATGTCAAGGACTCTGACATCTTCGATAAGAAAAAGTTATTTTTAAATTAACTAAATCACTGAAAACAGGAAGTTACCGATATCTCGTATTTGAAAAAAAATTACATGATATTTGCATACTCTCTAAATCTGAATCAGTGGATAATCACTGATATCAGTGCCACTGGTAATCAGTGAATTAAATGTGAGGTAATTATGCTGATGAAGGGAGCCAGCCCCGATGACCTTGACCTTGACATATGTTGTCAAGGTCATGACGCTGAGTGACCTCCAACAAGTTTTAGCCGTTGCTCGTCATTCGTTAAAAAGTTATTAATAGTTAAAGTTAGTAATTATTTCACTGCTTTACATTAAAAGTCAGATAACTCTGACCTTCGACTCTCACCCCCCCCCC